CACACACACACACACACACACACACACACACACACACACGTATGTAAATATATTTATATATATATACATTCTATGAATTCATTTCAACGTGATAATTTAGACACTGTACCAAAAATTTCTTCAAGGGAGGAAGATCAAGCCGGAAGTGATAAACTGTATCTATTTCTTTTTCTTTTTATCCTTTTTCCTGTTCTTTTGCTTTCTTTTCTTTATCATTAAGTTAATGGAATCTCAACGGTGGGTTTGTGGGACAGACAACTTGTTTTTATAGTGCGGCTTCTAATCTTACCGTTCGCGGAGTTCACTGTTTTGTCATATCAAGACCCATAAAGTACGAGGAAGCTTGGAAGAAGAAAAAAATGTTAGGCAAGAACAAAATTTAATTCTTGGCGAGACATAAATGATAAAGCAGCCCAAACCTTTCCGCTGGGAATATTTGCACTTTCCTTGGAGCCTCGAGAGTATTATGTAAATTATGTGTACTTTTAGGCTCTATATTGGTTTATTCAGTCAAAGGGTCCTCTCTTCACACACACACGTGCGGACTGACTTTTCAAAATGGTCCAGGCTTTAATTTTTTTTTTTTAACATGCGGACCTGTATTTTAAAGAATTGAGCTCGTTCACATATTATGAAGGGGGCGAGTGAAAACAAGAGCAGTATAGACTACTTTTAAAAAAGAGAAAAAAATCATAGTAGATCTAGCTCTTACCTCTGAACAGTCCCTGCAGAATATCTCTCTTAAATCAATCAAGTGAAAACCCTACTAAATAATTCACTGAATGTATTTTTAAGAGAGCAAATCATGTTAGGAACAAGCAAAGTCCCTCTAAGAAAGTGCCCCCAAAAAATGGTTAAGCCATCATGATAGGATAGTTATGACTTTCGTTTGCAGACACGAGTCAAGAAGATTTTATACTTTAAAAAAAATCGTAATCCAACATACATGAGGGTATGCCAAGTTCAAAATGCGTACAGATTCAGAAGGTTAACAAACTAGGGTAACCAAGCTTATAATGACAATTGACAATAGTATTATATATTCTATCCCCCCCCCCCATCCCGTGTACTGCAGGACTGCTTTAGAATTCCTTTCACTTTCAGTCTACTTTTAAAAGCCTTAATTTGATCAGTTTATATTTTTGTTTCCCTGCATTGCTCAACAATTTTCCTTGAGATCTCAACAGTTCCCCATCAAACATGAGAAAACACATTTACTTTAATATTGAGAGCTTCGTTGGTGATTCGCAATCCTATCTCCTTTGTTTATCAACATCTGGCGTGCTTAAAAAGTCACAGATGTGTGTGTCGTTTATTATTAATTAATTCTGTTTCACGGAAGCCTCCTCTGTAAAATGTGCACGCTTTGCATGGTATGGATCAACGGGCTTAAACTCTGAATGAAATCTCCAAGTATTCAATGCCATAGTACTTTCGAGGACGTTGACACCAGCGAAGGCTGTTAAGGGAGTATTACACCTTCAGTTAAAATTGACAGTTGTCCGTCCTTTTTGTGATAAGAAAATATTGCGGTACATGATGCAATCTTGGTAAAAGAAAGTTTCTTGTGATGTTCAAAATCCAACAACAAAAAGAGCCACTCGCTAGTCAGTTTCTTAATTTTGATACGCTGGTTACGAATAGAGCTGAGTGTGACGTTGTGCCCCTGGGAACGGCAAATTTACACGATTAGTATTCTTACGATAAGATTTAGTCTTTTAATAGATCTAAGTTTATTAACAACATTTTTGTTATCGGCGGGCCGCAGGCGTTGCAAACTGTCTGATCGCTGGACAGTCTGTTTTCTTTGGGAAATTACATTCTGGTTTATAATCTTATTGAAACGTACGTGTCATCGTAATAATAATAACAAATCGGAAGCTCCACATCAAAATTAACAAAATAACTCGTAGATGACTCTTCTATTCTTTTTCTTGCTGGATTTGGAAGATTACAGAGAAAGAAGTATTTTTTAACGGAGATTGCATCATGTAATATTTTCTTATCAAAAGTAGGACGAACAACTGTCTGTTTTAACTGAACGTGCAATACCTCTTTAGACATCTTACTCAACAAGTGTATCAAAAGCAAAGAGAAAAGAAGGTCACAGGTTGTCACCTCTTTGTATTGCGCCACAAGTGCTCTCATTCATGTTTCGCTTTCATGATATTCACGGGAGCCCGCTGTCGACAAAGATCGTGCTTTGGTGAAATGCGAACCGGCCTTCTTTCACTTGATTCGAAATTATAGATTTTTTTTCTCCGAGCTTTCATTGCAATGACAAAAATGACTGTATTATTGTAACTAATTTTATTTACTTATTTTCCACTTCAAATGTTGTTTACTCTCTTCCCTCCCTCTGTCTTTTGTGCAGGTAACAGGACAGTTTATTGTGGATACCTTCTTCGATAAGCTAAGTCACGATAATAATATGCTGTCATCATTCAATACATGTAAAAGGGTAATGCGTGGTGTAAAATCCCATCAATAACTACAACAATTATGTATTCGTGACAACAGCAACAAAGCTGACATTGCCTCTGTCGTGGTGTTGAAAGTCTTCTGGTAAGACCCAGAACTCGTCATCGTGAGATTGCACTTTCGGGAGTAGGAGGTTCTGCTCAGTCCGACGTTACATTGTGTCCTTGGGAAAGGCTCTTACTTTACACGAATGTTTACATGTAGCTCGGTCCTATCGGAGGTGGACGTTGAATTTGGAGGTCACGTCACTTAGATAATCTGACAGTGTTGCAAGTAAACAAATCACCCACTTAGCTGCCACATCTAAAATGATGGCTGGAATAATATAATCATTAGCCTATACACTGACGTGTGCCACTGTTTCCCACACTCACCTACAAAAGAGACTGACCTACTTTACACTTATTAAAGATACACATTTAGAAATTGATTATATCAATAGGTATCGCATTACTTCTACTTTAATTTTACGTCACTTAACTTTTCCGACCCAGAGGCCGTCTGAATTCTGGCACTTCTGCCTGTCGATAGCAGATTTATGGCGACCGTTTCATCCTGGCAGTCACACAGCGGGCAGGCAGGTAGGGTACGGTTTCTGTTCGGGTAGGAATTCAATGGGATGTGTTGTTTTCGTAGGCGAAAGATAGTGACTTGTTCTCTTCTACTCAGGGAATTTAGTGTATCTTTCGAGTTAGGAGCAGTCATGTGTATAAAGGCAGTTCTTTCAGTTTTGCCCATTGCCCATTCGTTCATCCGCTGTTTCCTATTGTTGGATTTTAATACTGATCTTTACAGTGTGTTGTGATACTGGGTTTTGTGGTTGTGTTTGTAATGCTTCCTTCTCGGCAAGGGTGTCTGTTCAGTCATTTCCTGGGATATTGCTGTCGCCAGGTATCCACTGTAAAGTCAGGTCGACGGCATAGGTCTGCATTAAGGTGTTCTGTTCTTACCATAAATCCTGCATTAATAGTTCCAGTAAAGGCTGACCCATCAGCTGTCAAACCAGTTTAGATCTTCATTTATCATCAGCCTTGAACTGATGCCGGCCTGTTCCCCAGAGTGCCAAATGACAGGTCGTCAGCATATTGGACCTTCTCCCTTTTCAGTATCTCACCCAGGTCGTTGATAAAGTCTAAGAAGAGTGGGCAGCTCAGTGGGGTAGGCCCACCTCCAGCACAGCTTTGTATGGCGTTACGTTGTTCATCCTGGTCTGGATTGTTCTGTCTGTAAAGAGGGTCTTCACCGTGTTCCTTTAACCAATTCATCGTTTTTCATACTCCGGCAGCCAGACGAATAAAAAAAAAATCTTCAACGTTTTATT